TGTAATGGCGATTAGCACGAGAAAGAAGATGGCCCCGAAAAGGAAAAGGAGAGTGAGTCGATTAACAGTGTTGGGTTTTGCGGAGCTTGTAGGCGGTTCGGCACCCGGAGCCAAGGTCCTCTCAGAAACACTGATCTTCAGCTTTTGGCCACCAACTGCGCAATGCTGCCCAAAGGTGCAGATGTACCATTTGTTCCCAGGGGTAGCTAAGGTAATTTTGTCGGACCCCGAATTCAGTATGCCGTTGTTTGGCTCCTTGATGCAGTTTTCGAACCCGGAGGCGTTCACTTTCACGACGTTGTGTACTCCTTGAGGATAGGTGAATGCTACAGGTGCCAAACATGTTGAACGACTAGGAGGCCAATCACTTTCGTATCACACAGTTTTGATCATCTTCTTTAATGCTATGCTGGCACTAGAGTTTCCTATACTCTGCTCGCATCATCCAAGCAGTTAGTATTTAAAACAGTGCTTCAAAACTAGGATTAGTGGAACAGATTATGTCGAATCGTTAGATCAGTGATCCATATAGGTTTAGATAGGTTAAAATCATTGATTTAAAAAAATTAAACTGTACATGATATAAAATAAAATTTAAAATAAGGTTTTATGGGGCAGTGATTTAGAACGGATTTAAGAAAAACTTAGATGTGGTTAAAAAAAGAAAAAATATATATATAATGGGGGTTTTTAAGGAGAATTGGGCTGGGACCCATATCATCCCGAAACCAAGACACTGGTATTTAATGCTAGCACTTGAATTTTCTACTCTTCCCTATTTTAATTTTTACTTGTTTCTTTTTAATATTTACTATTAATATTTCTAGTATTTAAACTAATGAAATCCTTCAAGAAAATAAGAATAAGGGCATGTTTTGTATTCGTATAAATATTCTCAAATGAAAGAACTCCCCATAAGAGTAGGTACGAGAGTTTTTTTCACACAAATTGTTTTGCCAATTGGTGTGATAAATGCAAATTGATATGAAAAAAACTTTCACATCTAATCATATAGGGAATTTTTTCATGTGAAAATATTTTTGCATATACCAAACATGTAATTTCATAAACATTCTTGGCAAATTCATTGTAAGCAAAAGTATCTAATGCAAGCTAGCACTTGAGTTTCCCATAGATCAATGGCTACATCCCAACCATAAGATCTCAAGCAACGATGGTCACAGGGTTTGTTGTTCCTCCACCCAAAGCCGGTTAATGGGCTTTGACGTGTGGATCGTGACCTAAAAGAAGGAAAAACAGACCCCAACCATCCTCTGTCAACACCGGCTGGTCATCAAACAGTCGCGTGAAGGTAGCAAACTGTAGGAAACTCAACATATGGGCATGGTCACTATCATCATTACAAACAACAAAATAATAATGAAACAATGAGTAGTAGAGTTTGAAATTTACTAAGAGTGTCTCCAACAGTGAATCCTTTGCTCTCAGCCCATGAATTGTAATCAAAGTTGATGGTCCACCCCTTATCATCTCCAACTACATGATCCTTAGCCAAGACAATAGCTGGTATAACAACAATGGCAAAAAGGAAGGCAAGCTTATGAGCCATGGGAACTGGCTTCTCCTTTGTTTTGTGGTAGTTCAAGAGGAGTCGAATTTGAGATATAGCAATGTTAATGTCAACTGCTAACCACTCAAGCTCAAGCCCGACTCCAACTTCCTTAATACTCTCAAATCTCAATTGATTCAGTGCTCCTTCTAATTGAGATGGATCAGAGTCTCTAAAGCTTTGGATTTCTTTAAAGCTTAGGGCAAGGCCTCTTATATATAGATTTTAAGAGAACAGAGTAAAGTCAATTGTGCAAAAATAATTGAATTTAAGAATTAGATGAAGTTGAGGATTATATGCCGCATATAAGATGATGGGTTCATGCTTCTTCCTCCATTTACTCCCTTGTTACCCGCTTATTTGTATTTTCCCAAAACATAGCAAGTTAAGGTATACAAAAATAACCTAATATTTTAGTAAGATTATTATTGAACGATATACACCTACAAATATAATACTCCCTCTCTCTCTCTCTCTATATATATATATATATATATATATATATATATAATATAGGAAAGATCACTTTGCATTGACTGTGGTCATAGTTTGATAGATACATAAAAGGAAATCCAATATTATAGTAGGGCTATTGTTAAATAATATGATTTTACAAATATAACTCTCTCTCATTGTAAAGATAATTTGGCAGTGATTAGATGAATATTTATTAATTGGAGTGGACGAGCCTGTGGAATGTTAGCGAACTTCACTATTTCCATTTGTCGAGTCTCCGTAAACTTCGTGGTAAGATGTCTCTCTCTCTCTTGAAATGTCCCGTATGTCTTTCTCTCTCTAAATGTATACATGGAGCAATTGTGTATGTGACTCCACCTCCATAAAACCCTACTCAGCTGTTGAAAAGTTGGCATCGATCATATCACGATTTCAAACTGTTTGATTTTTAATATTTTTTATAAATTATTTTTAAGTGAAATTTGCGGCATCTCCTTTTCTTATCGGTACTAAAAAAAAAACATTTATAACTAAAATAAATGACCAAAAATCCTTGGTAAGTTTCAAAGGTATCCTGGTAATTTTATCTCCACGACTTGTTTTTTTATTTTGACTATGTGTTCCCCTGTTAGATGTATGTATTTGCTACAAAATAATTTACAGAGTAAAATTAGAACTTTGATCTATCAGATTAAGATCTGAAGCTCAAGAGCCGGCCTTACTAAAATCGGATGGCTAAGAGCATGGGTCACATATGCTTTATATGTGGGTGAAGTCATATGTAAAGCTTTCCCATATAGATAGGAGAGTGTAAATAAATATTAAGTGCACCAAGGACACAATTGTTAGGTTGGTATCCTGAACTCAAGCTTCAGATGTCCTTTAAAATGGATTGAAAAAAAAAAGCTCCAATTAAAATAACTAAAGTGAGTAGGGTAAAAAAAACAAACAATTCGATTTTTAATTTTTGAATTTATTTTTTCCATATCCATGATCTCTATGGTTGAGATTATTGACTCCTAAAATTTTCGATCCAAAATCTATCTATAATATGGATTTTGGAGGGGACGCATTCAAAATGAATTAATGAGTCAGGCTTACTCAACAAAATAGTAATCTATGTGTACGAAAGGAAAACTAAAATAAACCCTATTTAGTATCTTATTTACTAGACTCTAGTATGCATAAAAAGTAGCATCCCTAAAACTAGTATTTGTAACGGGATTGTATACTATGAGACCATTTATTTTTAGTACAATGACCTCACAATCACTTTTAGCCATTGGGATATAATATAGAATAGATGAAAGTGTGTCACAACATTCGAGAAATTTTATTTTGGATTTTGTGCCCAGACAATGACATATCCTCAACCACGTAATTTCAAATCTAACGGTCAATAATGATTGCAACCTCATTATATCAAAAGTAAATTCTTCCATTGTATATATTTCAAATTGTAGCATAGATATAGATATTGAGGTTGAAAAGGTCTTTTTATGACATTATGATGTATATTCTACTATGATCAATTGGGAGGCATTTTCCTACACCCTTGCATATTTAACCGTGTTAACGTGTTATCAGGATTGGACTAGCTACTAAATTGATAATGGGTCTAGTCCAATTAAAACCGGTTTGACTTTTATTCACTAGATTTTTAAAAAGCAAATATCAAATAGGGATATAGTTAATCGGCTGCGACTGGTTTCGACCATCGATTGGTTGGACCGGGTTGTTTGGTCTAGTTTCACAATTATGATATAGACTTTTGGTGGTCTTTTTACTTCTAATAATGTATATACCATGCTCCTAGGGGACCATATAGTACATTTACTCTTGTGGGTAAAAGACCTATTTAGAGTTATCTTTTGATATATAATTTTCAGATCCACATTAAAATCAACAAATCAATATGACCAAAAAAATTAAAAAAATTTATTTTTAAGTTTTTAAAAGATATGACCATCCAAAATTTGAAAATTTTATATTTATTTTGATAACTTCTTTATTCATACACTTATAGAGTGCATATGAAAATATTTTTTGATAGCTTAGTGAGGAGCTTGCATCCCCAAATTTTAAGGTCTTATGAATACTCTGGGGTTTCACACAAGGAAGTGAATCTATGAGAAAATGCTCATGTGGGAGTTCTGTCTAATATTAAGGTACATTTACTCACCCTCCATTCCCGCTGTTAACATATAATAAAATAAAAAATAAATAAATAAATTGTAGGATTTACTATTCTGCATCCATTGCATTAGTAAAACTTATGGTGTATGCTGGCAAACAAAGCCTTAGTTGGTTTACACTCAAATTTGCAAATTAAATTGAATTAACTTATTTGTATGGAGTATTTTTTTTATTAGTCATATCACAAAGCTAATTTGGTATTAAATTTGGTTGTGACTAGCTTGAACTTTCAATCCCTTATTAAATTGTGCTCCATACTAACCGCATAAATATTAAGCGGCTTAAATAATATGGGAATGCCCTTATTTACTTAAGTTGGTTGATTTTATTAATTTGAATCCTCCAACACCAATATACAAGTCATTCCACATATTCATTAAGAGTTCTGAGATTCCTGAATAGCAGCATCCCACATTCTAGTCTCTTTTTTTTTTTCTGACAAAGAGCACCCAGCATTCTCAATGAGAAAATTTTTCTTTGAAAACACTATAGGATGGAATTTGGCCAAAATACAAAGCCAAGATAGATGCCCACCTCCCATATCTCAAACAAAATATGAAATAAATTCACAAAAATGGTCTTAAAAAAACCATAACATATTTAATATTTAGAAGAATAATCTTCACTAACAAGCCTTCATTTAAATGTTCCACCACCAAAACAAATAATTAAGGAACAAAACAATGGATTTACTACTAATAATTCACACCATCTTATCACTTGACCCCTCTCATTCTTGCCCATATTGGACCAAAAATGTTTTTGTTAACCATGGCAACTAGTTGATCACAACTAGCACCAAGAAGAAGATGGCCCCAAAAAAGACAGTGCGCCCATTAACAGTGTTTGGCTTTGCTGAGCTTGTAGGCCCTTGGGCACCAGGAGCCAGGGTCCCTTCAGAGACGGTGATCTTCAGCTTTTGACCACCAACTGCACAATGCTGGCCAGAGGTGCAAATGTACCACTTGTTCCCAGGGGTTGCCAAGGTAATTTTATCAGATCCAGAATTCATTATACCATTGTTTGGCTCCTTAATGCAGCTCTCAAAGCCGGAGGCATTCACTTTCACCAGGTTGTGTACTCCTAGAGGATAGTTGAATGCTACAAGTACCAAACATTTAGACTGTTGCTTCAACTATCAGGAGGCAATTCCGGAAATATCAGACAATTTTGATGAGTCTTAAGATTTAATTAAATCCTAGTACTTGAGTTTCCTACAGTTCATTAGCCAGCATCATCCCAACTATTAGTATCCAATGCTAGCACCTGAATTTCCTACAGTTCCTTCAATTAACGTGCTTTGAGGGGACGATCACGGTATTTTGAGCAGGAGAACGACGCGCCCCAACCGTTCGTCGTCACCAAAAAGAGTCATCATACAACTGTGTGATGCTAGAGAACTGTAGCACACCCAAGTGCTAGCATTGAATAATAACTCTTATCTGTAAGTTGGTCATGGCTATCATCATGAAAAACAACAACAACAATAATAATGAAACAATGAGTAAAAAAGATTGAGAAATTACTTAAAAGTGTCTCCAACAGTGAATTCTTTGCCCTCAGCCCATGCATTGTAATCAAAGTTGATGGTCCATCCCTTCTCATCTCCAACCACATGATCCTTAGCCAAAACAATGGCTGGTAAAACAACAATAGCAAAGAGGAAGGCCAGCTTTGGAGCCATTGTAACTAGCTCTTGAGGGTTTCTAAAAGCTTAACAATTGTTTCACTTTGAGATGGTTTAGGGTTTCTAGAGCTTTGGATTGCTCTAAAGCTCCTCACAATTGAGATGGTGAACCTTTGTGCCAAAGCTCCGTATATATACATTTTAGGGGACCAAGGGAAAGCAAATTGAACATAAATTATTGAATATTAAGATTTGACTGAAATGGGGGTAGCCGTCTAGGGCCTGCATATAAGATGATGGGACTAGGGCGTGTTGTTACTTCATTACAAAAAAAATGATGTCATGCTCCGATGAGAGCATACTGTACATTAACTCCGTCGATTTAAAAGAGATATTGCGGGAAGATTTTTTTTTGTTAGAGGATGATTTTAAAAGGCCAAAAAAAAACAGTGGATTTTTTAGTTCTTCAACGCCTAGATCTTGCCTTTCGAAAACTGGGTGTCCCTTATTAATTTTCGAGCTGTTATTTTTTTCAAGCACATAGAACATATGATTCGAAAATTTTCTTTTTTTTTTTGAAGCTGATCGCTATGTCTCAATATGTTACATACCCAGAATATGGGGCCATCCTAAATTAAGATTTACCTAAGGGAGCAAATGGACAGTATGCTCTAGCAGAAGCGCCGTATCCTTTGGCTTTTGTTAACATGATTGAAGTTATATTACATAGAAAGAATATAATATTTTGTTAAGACTATTGTTAAATAATTTATTTTAAGAAATATTGTACACTTTCTCTCTCCCGTACCCTAATTGGAAAGATCGTTTGGCATTGACTCTAGGAATATTTGATAGATGCATAAAAATAATCTAATATTTAATTTGGACGATTGTTCATTAAATTGAGCAATGACCATGTATGTATGGCTACTGTAATCCCGTAGGCACATATTATACACTTGCTCCCTTGGGCAAATGATCTCCTTGTGATCACGTTCTTGATCTAAAATTTCGAGATCCACTTAGAATTACCTAGTATTTAAACATGTGGGGGTAGACACAGACTCTCCTGAGTCTGAGTCAATACAAGTCTGAGTCAATACGAGGATCAACTGAGCTAGCGACTCGAGTCTGAAGTCCGACTTGGCTAAGTTGCTTGGAAAATAATGAGAGGACCCTAGGTTCAAGAGTCTGACCCGATTTTGGGAGATGCCCATTAGAGTTGGTAGGTCCCTAATTTGAACTGAGACAGAGGAAGAGGACAAACAGGTTATTTTAAGGGAGAGAGAGGACATTTGCTTGTCATCTTACCACAAAGTTTACGGAGACTCGACAGATGGAAATAGTGAAGTTCGCTTACATTCCACTTGCTCATCCACTCCAATAAGTAAATATTCATCCACTCATTGCCAAATTATCTTTACAATGGAGAGAGAGAGAGAGAGAGTTATATTTGTAAAATCATATTATTTAACAATAGCCTTACTAAAATATTGGATTTCTTTTTATGTATCTATTAAACTATGACCACAGTCAATGCAAAGTGATCTTTCCAGTTATAGAGAGCGGTAGTATTATATTTGTAGGAGTCTATTGTTTAATAATATTCTTACTAAAATATTTGTGTACCTTAACTTGCTATGTTTTGAGAACATACAAATAAGCGCGTGGCAAGGGAGCAAAAGAAGGAAGAAGCATCAACCCATCATCTTATATGCCGCCCATCGACGGCATATAATCCTCAATTTCACCTGATCTTAAATTAAATTATTTATGCACAATTTGCTTTGCTATGTTCTCTTAAAATCTATATATAAGGAGCTTTGCCACAAAGGTAGATCATATCAATTGTGAAGAGCTTTAAAGCAATCCAAAGCTTTAGAAACTCTGAACCGTCTCAATAATAAGAAACACTAAACCAATTGAGAGGTTTAAGGAAGTCGGAATCGGGCTTGAGCTTGAGTGGTTAGCAGTTGACACTGGACATTAGCATTACTGTATCTCAAGTTCAAATCTCTTGAACTTTCCCAAAACAAAGGACCCTAGAAGCTGGTTCCCATGGCTCATAAGCTTGCCTTCCTTTTTGCCAGTGTTGTTTTACCAGCTATTGTCTTGGCCAAGGATCATGTAGTTGGAGATGAGAAGGGGTGGACCATCAACTTTGATTACAATTCATGGGCTGAGGGTAGAGAATTCATGGTTGGAGACACACTAAGTAAATTTTCGAACTTTTCTACCCATTATTTCATTATTATTTTGCTTTTTGTAGTGATTATAGTGACCAACATTGGGTGCTTGTGCCCATATGTTGAGTTTCCTACAGTTTACTAGCTTCATGCGACTGTTTGATGACCAGCCAGTCATAAAAGGGAGGTTGGGGTGTGTTGTTCCTTCCTTCAGAGCATGATCCTCACATCAAAGCCTATTTACCGGCTTTGGGTGGAGGAACAACAAATGCCGGCCATCCTTTCTTGACATTGATGGTTGGGATGCTGCCATGGAACAATGAGAAACTCAAGTGCTAGTATTAGATACTTTCGCTTACAATCAAGTCGACACGAACGTTTATAAAATGACACGTTTGGTACGTGTAAAAATATTTTTGTGAAAGTATTTTCACATGAAAGAATTCCCTATGTGTTTAGTTGTGAGGGTCTTTTACACATCAATTTGCATTTTTTACACCAATTGGCAGCCAATTAGTGTGAACAAAAACTCACATACCTACTCATATGGGGGAATTCTTTCGTGTGAAAATAATTTTACGCTTTACCGCATGTGACCTTATATCTTATTTTCTTGAAAGATTTCATTCACTCACTTCCTTAACAATCCACCTGGAAATATTAGTTTAGTAAATATTAAAAACAGTGAAGAGTAGCAAATTCAAGTGCTAGCA